TTTAAAAAAAAAAGCTTAATTAAACTTTAAGAAATCATTTAAAAGGAATTCTTTGATTCTTGAAGAATACAAGCCAAATAATCACTTCTAATACTTTCAATTTTTAGGCAGGTCCAGTGGAAAAAGTTAATTTACATGAAAATATTGATGGTACACCACAATATGCAGTTGTTGTTTTTAAAGAGATTAATTCAGTAATGCATGTAATGGCTGATTATAATCGTTATCAACTTGGATTCAATATTATTCATTGTTTAAGGTAATTTTTTTTTTTACAATATCTTTTTCACATTTCTGGAATTACTATCTTTTTTTTTTTTTTTTCATTTATTTTAATTAAACATTAAAAAATCCTTTGTATATCTATAAAAAATTGCTGATTCAAGAATACAAACCAAATAATCAAATCATTACTATTTACTTACTATTTTCCTCTTGCTTACTTTTTAATTTTTTCATCTAAAATCTTATAAGTTACTATTCTAACTTAATAAAAGAGAATAATCATTATTCTTTTTTTTTTTTGTTGTTGTCAAATATGATATTTCTATAGTAATATAATTTTATTCTAGCAATATACCATCTGAATTATCCAATCAATGGAATATTTCACGTCAAATTGGATATGAGAAAAAATGTGCTCAACAATCGCATCATTATAATATCAGAGTTTTTGAAAGTAAGTATTTAAAGTAAGCATTCTTAAATAGTAAGTTTATGTGTCTATGAAATGATGGAAATGATAAAAAGATACAATATCATTTCTTAGTGATTATATTGATATTACGATGGATTGTTTTCCTAAAGTAATTTTTTTGTGAGTATTTTTTAAGTTTAGATTTATTTCAAATTAATTTCAAAATATCAGTATTTATGAATAAATTACAGAGAATAATTACAAGAAGAATGATACAATGAGAGAAATTGCTACTACAATATCATCAAATGATGGTTGGAATCCATTCAACAGTTCATTAAAATCTCCTATTACTTCTTCCAATTTCTTAAAATTCAACTCTACCATTTAATCATATTTATTTATTTGTTTGTTTACTTACTTATTATTGTTATCATTTATTTCTTTTTATATTGATCGCCATTTTAAAATGTATTTTTAGCTTCTCCTTACCATTGAAATTTTTTATTGTTAATAATTGGATTACCTAAATAGCTTCTTTAATTTGAATAGTACAATCAGAAAAATTGACGATTCCATAAGAAATAAGTGAAAAGCAAGAAAACGGAAATTTTTCTGAACTAAAAACACAAGGAAAAAAATTTTTTTAAACTAAAATACTTGCACAGTTAATAAATAGTTACTGTCAACACAGAACTTTTTCATTTCCAATTTATTTATGTGAGAAGAATTCGAAATTATTTAGGACTAAATGTTTCATTTTTACATATTTTATATTCATAATTCTTTTATGGCTATTCTTACATCCTTTTCAATTTCCGATTTATTTATTTTCGTGTAAAGCCATATTATTGTTAATCATTTCATGTGCTAGCTAAGTTTCATACAAAGATTGCCATATCTAATTTTAAATTTGTTTAGTTTTAATAATTAAGCTTAAATTGTCTCTGCTCATTTTCAGCTTTTCTAGTTCAAATAAACTTCTTTTCGATTTACCATTTATCATTAAATTCCAACAATAAAATCTGGTTTGAAATTTAAGTAAGAAATTGATGTGTTGATAATATTGCATGCAAACTCAATGAATCTCAAAAATGAAAATAAACTTTCCGGAATTAAAAAGAAAAAATTCCTTAAAAAATCTAATAACATCTAATTACCATCCAGTAATTACACATACATTAGTAGTTACTATTCAAACAAACTACAAGTATAACTTACTTTCTCATTCACTGCTGTAAATGTTACTCATGAATCTTTCATCTTTTTTTTAATCTCTAATCTCACATATTCATTCAACATTTCTGAACCTACAATAATTACTTTTTCTCACACCCTCACAGCCACCATACCTCTAATCAGCTCCGTCTCCGGAATTTACACTCCCGGAGAGATCCGCATCCGGAATTTGTGCTCTCTTCGAGAATGACGAATAGCAGTGCATTATGAAAAGTGTCATCTCATGGCTCTTTTTTTCCGTTATATTTAATGTGTTTCAAAAATTTTCCTGGAACTGCCAGTTGGAAGTGAGATGGCAGCCGGAGTGATTTACAATTTAAGACATCGAGGATTACTTCGAGCAAAAGGAAAGGAAGTATTTCAATTCCTGCAAGCTCTCGTTACAAATGATATCAGGTCAGGTGTGCTTTTCTTTAATTAAATTAATTAATTTTTATTAGTAGTATGCTTTTATGTAATTTATTCCTGCATCATGTTCAATGTTTTATTACCTACAGAAATTGTTATTTATATGATAGCATATATGTAAGATTATATGATTACACTCACAGAGTTAGTAAGTAATTGTTATCCCTCTATCTATCGATTAATAATATTAAATGAAAGATGGTAGAAAAAAATCTTAAATGCTGCAGATTATTTTGCAAAATGAAGAAATTTAAGTTTTAATTGACCTTTACAAATGTGAAGTAAATTGAATTAATGTAAGTGATAATTTAGACGCTTAGTAGATGGTCAAGCACAGTATGCTTTGCTGCTTAATAATCGTGGTCGTATTGTGGAAGATTTAATTTTGTACCGACAAGCAGATGAAATTTTGATTGAAAGCGATCGAAGCAATCAATTGAAATTACGAAAATTATTTGAAATGTTTAAAGTACATAAAGATGTAACAATTGAAGAAGTAACAGAGAGGTATGTTTATCATGCTGATAGCGCAACGAATGATATTCCTGGCATTCAAGATCCGCGAGTTCCATCATTTGGTAAACGTATTCTTAGCAAAATTTTGCCAGGTAATAACATTCTATAAGTTTTTCTTTTCTTTTTTTTTTTTTTTACATCTACTTTTCTTAACAAAGAAAAAAATTCTTTGTTAACAGCAAGGGAATTACAAATGTTTGACATATATTATTATTAAAACATTGAGTGCTAGTGCTTACTAGTTTTTAGCTTTCAGATGATCAAACAGTAGACGAGAATGCATACCGAGAAAGGCGTTTTGATTTCGGTATACCGGAAGGACCGAATGAAGTAGCTGGTGAACTTCCATTATTCATGAATGCAGATATCATGAACGGTGTAAGGTCTGTAAATAATGTAATTTTGATTTTTCTCAATATTTTCTTCATCCATCAATCTTATTTTCATTAAAAAAAAAATATGGATACACTATACTATACAAATAGTCCTTAGTATGAAATACTATTTCAGCTTAATGCCTTATTCATTTTTATATACCTTTGTCAAATTCATTCCATATTGTCACTTTTAAAATGCTTCATTTTAAGCAGTTCTAATAATTTCATGTATTTCAGTGCTAATAAAGGATGTTACTTAGGGCAGGAATTGACAGCCCGGGCATTAAACGCACCAGAAATACGGAAACGCCTTTTGCCTTTCACATGTAGAAGTAAGCAGTTGATTTTTTTTCTCTTTATTTTCTACTCTATTTTTGTCATATCATACATTTTATAAAGTTTGTCAACCATGATAAACAAAATCCTGCAATTGTTTTTCAGTGTCGTGTCAGACGGTATTAAGAATTTCCAGTTAACTGTTATATCAAGTTTTTTTATTACCTTAGTTTTTCTTAGCTTCTCATTTCCTCATGTCTTCTTTCATTAGCATTTCCAAATTACTTCTTAAATTCTGTCAGATATGGTTACTGGAACTCTAATTAACAGTGATGGACGGCGTGCAGGAAAGGTGATTGCGTGTAACGGAAGGAAAGGTCTAGCTTTGGTATATACTTCAGGTAGTAATCCACCAACACATTTCCAGTTGCAGAATGAAAATATTGAAATTTTTCTACCTTCTTGGTGGCCATCTGATTCTTTCAGTGTTTCATCACAGGCGCTATAAAAATTTGAAAATAAAAGTGCCGATTTCCATCCGTTGTGCCCGTTCATTCTATCTAGATAGTATTAGATGATATAAGAGTATATACTACCTCATTCAAGTTCAAATTTTTGTTGTCACTAGGAAGATGTGAAAGCTAACATTTTCTCTTAGAAGAGGGTTTGCTATTATTTCAGTAAGGAATGCCAGCAAAGACAGCCTTTCCTGCTAATGTTTTTGGTACTTTTTATTGAATGAAATTTCTGGTACTTTTATTTTTATTGAATGAATGAACTTGAATATTAGATTTACTCTTGTTTGGTCTCACTCTTCATATTGTTTAATAAAGTAATTCTGTAGTGCAAGTTTACAAGCACAACAAAAACAAGTATTTAATATGAAATTATGACATATTACCAAACAATAAAAGGAAAATGTTAACTAAATGGAACGGAACATAAAATCTGCACGAGACACGAAAGCCGATAATTTTTGAAAAGCGAAATTAATTAAACTCCATATTTAAGTAAGACCCACATCCCGTTGATGAAGGAAGACAGAGGATCAGTAAATGTGGATGTATGTGTATGATTATTACGTGAAGGAATATTCGGCAGTATTTGAAATCATTTCACGTTAACAAGCTGTTTTATGAGTATATATGGGATTAAATTACAATGGTTCATCTGGGTTTAAATTCTTCTTTGTCTGGCTTTCATGCCATGCTTTACAAATTGTCCTTTTCATGTCATCGTCTCCTTCATCATACAGTTGCTTCATCAAACTCATCAGTGATTCTTGTGGATCTGCTTTCTTGATCAAGTTTTGGTGTACTAAAAAACACAGAAGTTATACTGAATTCAAATGCACCCAAACTGAGAAAAAAAACACTGCTTATTGAAAACATATCGCCCAAAAGTACAAAATAAACTAAGATATTTTGAAAGAACTACCAATTAATTAAAATGTATTTTATATAAAAAACAAAACCTCTTTTCTTTGCTCTGCATTTCCGCTTTCGTCAAATACTTCCAATTTTCCTCATCACTTTTTCGCATCATGATCAACAGAAGGTTCGTTTTTGCTGTAGCAAGATCAAAATAGGTTATTTTATGGAGTGAAAATAATTTGTTAATTAATCAGAGTTTTATGCAGTGTGATACTATAGATCGAAATAAACAGAATGAATATTCTGCAAGATCAAGAAATTTTTCTGCGGTTATACAAACAAAGGAAGGACATATAGAACAAATACTACCAGTCAGAAGTGGAATTGTAGAAGGGTAGTACGAAAAGATAACATATAAACGATTCCAAACTGATTCGAAAGACTATTTTGCATTTGTGGCCAAGAAGAAAAAGCCAAAATATAGAATACATCATTTGGTCATCATGTAAGAAATTCATGGCAGTACGAACGACAGCATGAATGCAATTACATGTTGAAGCTTATTTAAATATACAGAAGAGTTAAATTTTGAAATAAAATCAAAATAATTTTAGACGGAATTTGAAAAAAAAAATGACGCGCTTTTCAAGAATAATAGTTTAAGGATCGTGAAAGTGTTACCTTGAAAGAAGAGCCGGATGGGTTGATTGTTTTCAATAAACCCTTTATTATTAAAGAGTAATTTTTTGAAGATACATCATGAGCATTAACATGCACCTCACTGCAACCAAGGAAAAAAATGTTAGACAATAGAACCGATCTCATAGTATATGAAAAAAAATATCTAGATATTTATCTAGATATTTCATCTTTATATAGAGAATCCATTTCTTCCTAGCAATACATAACTAAAATTTGAAATTGTAATCCATTCAGTTCTTACCTTTCTGTAAAGTTGACTGTAATTTGTTCTTCCGGAACAGTATGTATGTCTGGAATAGTAAGGTAAAGCTTCACATATTTGTCACTTTGATCCCAAGCTGAAATAATGATAACAGGGAAAACTTTATTATGCAGCCGTTTCCACATGAAAAGACAAAATCCCAAACTAGAAGAGCCATATTCAGTTATATATAGAATGAAATTGAAAATCATCTAGTTGAAATCTTAATTTTAAATACCAAATCTTGTCAAAATGACAATAAGAATTCTAACTTGCAATTTGTGATATTGAAGTCAGAGGAAAATAATTTTTTGATTTCATCACACCTTTTTCTGGATATTTCCTAATTTCTAACGCAGCGGAACGTCAAAAGAAGCCTCAATGCACAAATTAAATAACTTATCGTCAACGGATTCAGTTACCATAATTAGTAATTTTCACTGTTGCCAACGGTACAGTATTCGAAGATGCAACTTCCGTCCTCGATTGTTTCAAAACCGGTACATCACCACATCCATCAATATTATTCGTTGCTTCTAGTGCTTTTATCTGAAACAAAAACAATAGTTATTATTTGCCAACAACTATTTTGCTCATTGTAAAGTAAATAAGAACGTATACTTAGCAAAACTGTTTTATATTGTTTACCGAGAAAAGGAACCTCATACTGAGCAGATGGTTTTTTTATCGATCATCTTCAGTCTTTCTTTTTTTAATCCTTTTGTTTCTATTAATAGGTTTATTTAATAGAACTGACCATACTTGCTAATAATGTTAGCTGACTTTACCTTGCCTTCAATTTCCGTGATCTTTTCATCTAGCATACTTTTCGTCATTTTACGTGATGCAATGGAACGCAAACTTCGCAATTCATGTAAGTCGTGGCGTAGTTCAGTACGTTCTTCCATTTCTGTTACTCGTTGTGAAAATTTAACAAAATTCAACAGTCTAAAAAGTGACGACTGTAACACTACATACACTTTTATTTAAAGAATAATAAATAATAATAACGAAAAACTAACACAACCAGGAAATCTTATAAATAAGCGATCAATGACCACTTTCTCCATTTCTCAAATGCTTGCATTCAAAAAATTAAAAAAAAAAAGACATATGACCAATTAGATTTCAAGAAAAAGAAAACATATAATCATATTCTTACAAATTTCTAACAAAATAATAATTAATTAATTAAGAATGGTATACCTTAGAAATATGCGCACTCTCAGTATACTAATTTAAGCAAACTTAGTAACAAACTCTAAACATTTCAGTTCAAATCAACGCACCAAATGAACCTCCGCACTATCGCAAGTTAACTAGCAAACCCATTGCTTCATTCTGGCACTTGCTGGAATGTTCTCGATCGTCGCTTTGCATCTCTGCTGTCTCCTTATTCGGTGCACTCTTTTTTATTCAATTTCTTTAACAAAGGTCAGATGTGACTTTTTCTCATTGTTTCTCGTCTGACGCACACTTGCACTTATATGTTTTTCTGCATCTCTTACACTTCCTCATCTTTAATCTCTGACTCTGACAGCTTTATTGTCTCCAACCTTTGTCATCATTTTCCTATGTTGGGGGCATGTGCGTAGACGCGTACAAGTGTGTACGTCACGTATAGACACACTTCGTGCACGTATCTACGCTTACACATATACATACACACATACACATACATATACCCGCACAAACACGCACACGCATACACGACACACACGTACATGCATGCGCGTTGGTATGTTACGTTCCATTTCTTCAGATTTGAAGTTATTTTGTAAAATAATTTAAGTGGAAGTGTTCTCTGTAATTAAAGGAGATGGCGAGTAAAATAGAATAAGTCACAAATGACACGTCCGTTGTGGTGAAAATAGTGGTGTTACGTAGGGTCATGACATGATATTACGTGAGATCATAACGTGTGATGAAAATCTCCAAAATATTTTCCAATTCGTTGTGGAAAATATGCAAAAATCTGAGTGGTGATTAAAATTTCGATGAGTTTTTCCGAAATTTCTCAAAATAATCAATTGTTGGTGTTATTTCTTTATTCTGTAAGGCTTTTTATAAATTAGTAAAATTTCCATTTCAATAAACATTTAAATATTATTTAAACATTTAAATATTAGAGTATATTAATTTATCGATTACATTCCACTTTACATTTTCATTTTCTTTTTAAAAGAAAATTCAAATATTCAAATGAATTGAAATACTACCATCAGTAACTGTAGTTTTTTGCAAAGTTTTTTCCATCAATTTCTCATTATTGATTGAAATACCAGGTAAAATCAGTAAATTATTGTAAAATAAGTCAAAAAATAAGATCCAAACAATTTTTGCGTACGTCAATTGTTTCATTTTTTTTTTGACGAATGATTGAAAGAAACTGAACAATCTTTTGTCATCACTTCATTTGATAAAAGGCGTTGATGCATTTTTGTGAATGTCAACTTGTTAAAACATTTTTATTTCGATATATGTATGTGTGTGTGTGTGTGTGTGTGTGTGTGTGTGTGTGTACGTAATTGTATTATTTTGTTTTATAAATAATACAAAACTAAATATAAACTATGAAATTCTTATCAAAAATATAATTAAATCTTTCATATTTGACGTATTTCCACGTGTAAAAATTAGTTATAATGCATATATATAATAATGATTACGTGAAAATGCAATAAATGATCGAACACAAATCAATCAAAAAAGTAAAATTTCATTATAATAATTAATAATTTGAATGGAATAAAATGTAATTTGCTACATTCTATTTGCTGCAATCAATGAATTCGGTATATTCTTAATTCGAAATGAAAAATAAAATCAATGATATGTATATCAAAATATGAAGATTAAAGACTAAAAAGGAAAAAAAAAAACTTCCAAATTGATCATTTTGCATTTGTAATTGATTGATTAACTTTTATCTAATTCGATTCCATCCTTAGATCAGAAAAACTATAATTATTATCATTATCATCAATGTTTTATTGTTATTATTATCATCATCGATATCATCAATTATCTGATATCTTCCAATTCTTCTTTTCTTTTATTATTAATGAATTTTTTGTTAGCAAAATGTTTTTTTTTCCTATTTAAATTCAAAAATTTATCACAATATTTCCTTCTTTTTCAGAATGGAAGAAAACTGAGACAATAGCGCCTATTATCATCGTTCATATCATTAATACAAAAATTGCGATGAGCACAAGCACCTTAATGATTATTTCTACTTTTTTATTTAAAAAAAAAACATTCTTAATCAGATAATGATTGCACACTTAAGCTTATCATAATTGCTTTATTTGAACGATTGAAAAATGATAAAAATAAAATGTAATTAATCATTTGCAAAAATTCGATAAAGTTCAAACATTACAGATAAATAATTATTACTGAATATTTTATTCATTTTAGGCTAAAATGAATAATTATGCAACTATTAGTAATACTATACTGTAAGTTTCCCTTCTGTAATACTAAATATTTTATAACTGTAAAAACAAATTTATAATTTCTTTCTTACTGCCCTGCTTCCTTGCGAAACAAAGTAGTTTTCCTTTCTTGATAATTCAGATCGTTGATTTCTTTTTCTTCAATACTGGTAAATTCTCGAATCTGTACTGGTTCCGTTCTGTGAAACGTGATACGTGTACTGTGGGAGTCTTCGTGATTATTATAACAATAGCCTTTGTTCACTCAAAGTTGGCTAATTAAAACCACAGATTAATATGATACAACATTGCAATAATGAATTTATACATAACACATAAATGTAGCTTAATTATAAAGATATAAGCAAGCTATACATCTCGCAACCGAGCCATACCAAACAAAGGCTTTTTATGCATAATTTCAATTTAATTTCCTCTTAGATATGTCACTATTTTAGAACATTAAAAATATAATTAGAAGTAATGGTATTATTCGAGAATTCTCGAAAATATCAACTGAAAATGATATCAATAATGCAAAAAGATATTATTAGTATTTGTGCTATAAGAATGAGATTTACTTTTATAAAAATTATTTTGATACTAATTGATAACATTAAAATTAATTAGCAAAAGATAATTAATTAGTAAAAATTAGTTAGAATAGTTAACATTAAAAAAATATTCCATCTTCAATTATAGTAAAAAATGATTCGTTTTGCATTTTTTAAAAAAAAAATAAATTAATTATTTCAAAATTTACTATTTGCTTCCTTACAGTATTATATTGTTTACCCAAAATTAACATTTTGCCTTCATCGATTCATCCTTTATTGATTGATTTTTTCCTTTTTTTTAATGAAAATAAATTATTTAAATACGAGTATATCTGAAATCAATTTTAATTAGATAATATGTGAATTAAAATGATGAAACATTTTAACGTTTGGTTAAAATTGACTAGAAAATGACGACAAAATGACAATGTTTATTGGCTGTGCTTTTTTAATTAATCTGAAAACAATATGGGCAATAATTTGATATATTGGAATTGAACTAAATAGGATAGAAATGAAATGAAATGGAATGAAATTAAATTAAATTAAATTAGATTAATGGACAAATTATTCTTTTGAGTAAATGAAATAAGTGAATCATAAACAATGCAATTGATGAATGTGCCGTAAAAGTTAACAAAAATCAAACAAAATAAATTGAACGAACAAATTAAAAGCATTTTTCTCTTTTCTATTTTTTTCATTTTTATAAACGAAGGAAGCATTTTTCCTATAATTTCTTTTCTTCAAATTTTATTTCATTTTAACACAAAAAATTTAACATTTGCAATTTTAATTTTACTTCTAAAATTTCAATGATTCATTCATAGCATATAAGTTTGAATTTCAATCAATGAATATTTCAACTAATCAAATGAAATATTATCAATAATTTCTAATCAAATCAATAATAATGCTATTCTAATATTAATTTTAAAATTAAAAAGTAAATAAAAGCAAAGGGAAGAAAAAAAAGGGAAAGTAACGAAAAAAAGCAGTGAGATATTATTATTCTAATTTGAAATTGACGTCAACTTATTTAAAAAAAAAAAAATATTTTTTAAAAATATATTAGTATATAATTTATTTGTACAACAAAATATCATCCGAAACTATTTGATGAATTCAATAAACCGATCAATTAGAACAAATTGTAAATATATTATTTATTATTTACAAAGTTTTTTACTGTTAATTGTGAAAGAGTTCGTAATGATATCATTTGCAAATTTAATTTTATTGATTTTTCAAAAAAAAAAAAGAAAGAAATGTGCGCATTTTGAAATAAAATGAGCTTACTTTAAAAAAAAAGAACAGAAAAAAGGAAAAAAAAGGAAAAAATGTTATTACTTTGTTTCTTTGTTTTTTTTTTTTTTGCAATTAATTCAAATGAAACTAATTTGTTTAGTTTTATTTTAAAAAAAAAATTGACAAATAATTTTTAACAAATGATAATAAATAATGATAACAATGATAAATGATAACGATAATAATGATGATGATGATGATGAGATGAATCACATTATCATCATCATCATCATCATCATCATTTCATTCATTCTTTCGTTTTTTTCACTGCAATCCCTCCTCTTTCTTCGTTATACTTTCTCATTCACAATGACTCAATCATCCGTTTTCTTAGTTGTTTGTATTCATGAAAAGCTTTTCTTTTTTATTCCTCAAAATGAGTTTTTATATTTTAGTTTATTTTTTTTTTGTTATTCAAAACAAAAAAGTAGAAAATGATAGAATTTATTGATTTTTCAATAATTTCTCCACCAAAAAATGTGATTTTTTCTTTAACTTTAACTATTTTATAACCATTATAAATTATTATATATGATACAAAATAATAATAATAATAATAATAATAATAATAATAGTAGTAGTAATAATAATAATAATAATAATAATAATAATAATAATAATAATGATAATGGTGATAATGACAATGATAATGATAATGATAATAATAATATCAATAACTGAGAATAATGTAGTTGAAAATAAACTTTAAATTTAATGAACTTATAAAGTTATTTTAAATTTAGAAATAAAAATCAGAAAAAAGAAAAAAAAAGAGAAGAAGCAGTATTGGAAATGATTAATTAATAACTGAAAGTAATTTAATTGAAAATAAATTTAAATAAATTAAATTAGCTTAGTAATATTCAAATTATCATTTCTCAATACTATTTCTCCTTTTTTTTTCTTTTTTCTCATTTTAAAGTTTGTAATTAATGAAGAATTCTTAGTAAAAGTAATTGTAAATTTTGATTTGTTTAATTTATTGAAAAAAAAAAGGAATTAATATTATAGATCTGAAGAGAGAGAGGGAGAGGGACAGAGAGAGAGAGAGAGAGGGAGTTATTGTTGTTGTTTG